GTCAACATAGGTTAGATACAAGAGAGGGGTAAAGCAAGAGGGGGGACAGAACAAGACTCACAACAATTGGAGCCTTGAAAGGCAAGAGATGGAGGAGGGGACGGATCCTGCTAAATCGTTGTAATAGAGCGACCTGCATGCACGGCACACGTCAGGCACACGTCAGGCACACGTCAGGCACATGTCAGGCACACGTCAGGCACATGTCAGGCACACGTCAGGCACACGTCAGGCACATGTCAGGCACAAGCAGGCACACGTCAGTCAGGCACATACCAGGCACACGTCAGGCACAAGCAGGCACACGTCAGGCACAAGCAGGCACACGTCAGGCACATACCAGGCACACGTCAGGCACAAGCAGGAATAGGCTCACTCGAAGAGAAGACCTCAAACCGGCTCGGGATATAGTGAACAGAATTGGATTGGATTTAGGTTTGCAGCAACAAGCCACAACCACAGCAGCCCATCACTATTTGCTCGCAGCAGCAGTGGCACTTACAACCATGTGAGGCGAGAGAGCGACATGAGCAGAGTCGGGTTTGCTTCGAGAAATTCTAAAGAACAATCGCAGCATCCCATCACTATTTGCAGCAGCCGTGGCACTTACAGCCACGTGAGGCGAGAGAGCGACGTGAGCAGAGACGGGAAGCTTCCAGCGATGGAGTTGTTTCCAAGCTCACTGGTATAAGGGGCACGAAAGGTTTTGAATGAGAGAGAGTAAAGTCATGACAGGCCTTCTGGGATGCCCAAACGTCGTGAGCAGAGTCGGGAAGCTTCCAGCAATGGAGTTGTTCCCAATCTCACTGGTTTAGGGGGCACAATAGCTTTACATGCACGGTGTAAAGAAATTAGAGCTAAGAGGCGAAATGAGATGGAGGAATGACGGATAAGATGAAACGGAGGAATGAAACGGAGTCTGAAACGGGAGGAATGACGAACAGCATTTGTAGATTGGTGAGAGCGCTCATGGAGAGAGGCAGCCTTCCCACCACATTGTTGTCATACAGATTGCTGCAGGCAATCAGACCAAGGAAGGGAGAGCACAAGGAGGGAAGGAAAGGAGAGTACAAGGGACGGAAGAGAGAAAATGAGGGTTGGTTTTGAGACGAATCAACGCCTTGCCACCACATTGTCGTCATACAGATTGCTGCAAGCAATGAGTGCAATGAGAGCAATGAGATTGAGAGCAGCAGAGTAGAAGTGGCGCCGATGGTGGAAGGCTCGGCATCTAGTTGTGAGACATTTCAAATCGTAACAGTCTAATGGCAGGCAGTGCAGGAACGCGTACAAGAGTTGAAGGTTGGCTAGCGAGCCGATGGTGGAAGGCATGACACCTTCTATGGAGTTGTACGCGAGGTTGCTGGGAGTGGGAGGGACGGGGGAGCGAAAAAAAAAAAGGAAGAGGGGAGAGGGAGAGGGAAGATGAGTTCTGAGTTCATCTGGGGTGCCTGATAAGCCGATGGTGGCAAGACGTCCTCTATGGAGTTGTACGCGAGGTTGCTGGAAGTGGGGGGGAGAGCTCGAGAGCGGAGAGGGAGCGAGAGTGAGAGGAGTGAGAGCGAGAAGGGGGAGGAGTTGCATGAAAGATTACAAAGAACGAGGGAAAGAGTGAGAGAGGAGACGAGAGCGACAGGGCGGTAGGAATTGCATGAGAGATCACAGAAGGAACGAGAGCAGGAAAGCAGGGAGTGCGTTCCAAAATGCATGTGGCCGATTCATCTACTCCCCCTAACCAGTTTACCCTTTCCCTTCCCCCTCTTTCCCCCCCAGAACATTTTTCCACTTCTGCCTCCTCGCTTCTCTCACAATGTCTGCAGCAGGGAGAGCTGACCAATGCTGGAAGGGATGGAGCCTGACAATAGGTTGTAGCTCAGATCGCTGGTGGTACGAGCGGGTGAGGGAGGGTGAGTGGGGGGTGAGGGGAGGTGCGGGGGGGTTAGGGGGTTGAGTGAGGGGGGATGGAGGGAGGGAGGGAGGGAGGGAGGGAGGGAGGGAGGGAGGGAGGGAGGGAGGGAGGGAGGGAGGGAGGGAGGGAGGGATGGCGGCAAGGAGCGTATCAGGAAGACGGGGAGTTTTGAACGGTTCAGTGGAGCAGGGATTGGGAGCCAAACAACTTGACAAGCCATCTCACATTGTAACGAGTGTGGTGAGGTTGCCTATAACGGAGCAGATGCTTCCATTCAAACCAGAATTAGACAGGGCACTGCAGAGGAGGCAGGGAAGGGACGAAGTGGGAAGCAGACGAGCAGGGAAAAGGAGTAAGGGGAAGGAGGAGACACTTGCTTCGAATGCGGGGGAAAAAGCTTCGCAATGCCGCACAAAGGGCCACCTCAATCACATTATGGAAGTGTATTCGTTCTGTTTGGATTGCTCACAGCGTAAGCATTGCTTATAACGCGTACAACTCAACCTTTCGCTGTATACAACTCACATGGTGTTGACTGTTCCATCGGCGTTACACACGAGGCCTTCGTCCATCGTGCAGGGAGCGTTAGGT